AGGCTAAAAAAATTGATAACAAATATCTGTCTTCTCTAATGCTTACAATAGAATGGGAAAACTGTTGTCAGATGTCCAAAGATTAGCTTAGTGGGAACTGATGAAAGTATTCTTATCGAACAAGCATTTGCTGATCACTGATATTATGTAAAGTGTGCTAATATTGACCTATGACGCTCAGGGAGTGAAGAGGGAGGCAGAGAGGCTGCGTCCTCACTGGAGAAAGGTCCCAGGTAATGGAAGGGAGTAGAAGTCAGGAAGGAGCGCGAGCCCTCAGTGTGGGAAACGCTGGGTCTCTGATTGGAACTGAGAAGGATGGTGTAACTCCCGTCGTGAGATCTTGCCACAGCAGTCACATGAGGCCAATCCTAATCTTGTTCCAAAGAAATAACTTTGGTCCCATTCCAAATTGTATTGATTTCATTTACTTTGGTATTTTTTTATTTGAAGCTAGCCAACATAGTAATAAGTAATTTAGTTACAATGAAATATATATAAAAAAAACTTGTAAAAACCTGAGTAATTCATTTTATAAAATGCCTTTTAAGGCTCCAAATTTCTAATGCTTTCAAAAGTTAACCATGTCGATGATTTCATTATCTCAATAATATAAAGGTTTTATTTTTACTAGAAAACAATAGTAGTTAACAAAATAATTATTTTTTGTTCTTGCCTTTTTGTGACCGCCCTGCACGACATCATAGAACATTAAAACGGGAGGGAAAGGCAAGACCATAGAAAAACATCTCAGGCCAAGATCATCACATGGCCTGCACACTGCCATTCTTTTCCAGAATGACTCAACTGCAGACATGTTAGTTTAAATGTTGCCACCCTTGACGTAAGTTTGTTTCATGTCAGATTATTATATAGGAATTATGCCAGTGAGCAGAAATTAAAGCATGAGAGTAGTAACGAGTCAAGTTTGTATGGTAACTTTTGCTGGTGCTTTGATGGGATGCCCACAAATTGAAATTTCTCATCATCTTAGTGCTCTGATGGATAGGCCTGTACCTCTTTATTTCTCCTCTGAAAACAGCGAGGGTTTCCTCTCCTGGGGAAATACTTATCCTTTTCTAGGTACCTCTCCACCACCACTCGCAGACTAGTAATCAGATCATAAATCCTGAGGCACTCATTTTGTTTTGAGGTGGTACCTTCATAATCTTGCTCAAAGAAATCGCAGTCCTGCATCAGGGATTGGAGATGAAATCGTGCCTCACTGATACTTCTCAGTAATGATTGCCAGGTAAAGCCTGAGCAGTGGCCCCACTAGAGGAAGAGGAGATGAGTCGCACCAGAATCAGTAAGCCTTCCCTTCCCTCTCCAAAAGCCTAGATCTCTTATAAACTCTTTTGGGAAGGGGGCAAAGTTCTGTAGGTTTTGCAATGAGCAAAATTAGACAGAATTTGAAGTTTTGTGTTATTAGCTACAGGTGGTATTTCCTCCCGCCCCTCATATATGAACATGAAGCAGTTAAATAGTTTCATCATAGTGAATAGAGGCACAACACAAGCAGCATGTGCTGTGTAGGAGGCAAGGAGTAAATTACCAGTGGCTCACTGTGGCAAGAGCAGTTGCACTA